TTAAACTGAGTTAAACCAACAGCTAGTTCTTCATCTGTGAATTTAAAAAACCAAACAAACAAACAACTGATGGAGCCTGTAACTCAGCCTCATTATAGGCCAGTGTATATTGCATTGACTGGTCTTGAATACCTTAAATGATGGCATCTGGTGACGTCTTGTGCCAGGATATTTCATTCTCTGTGAGGGAGGGCAGTTCTGTTGGCTTATGTGCACAGCCTTGTCAAGTCTGAGACTCTTAAAAAATAATTTCTTCCTTACAGACCAGTCTGTTACACTAAAGCAGAAATTTCAAGACTCTCTGCATCACAAATTCGGAATCTTAATCCTGTGTTTGGGGGATCGGGACCAGCTCTTACAGGACTTCGTAATCTAGGGAACACTTGCTATATGAATTCCATATTACAGTGTCTGTGCAACGCTCCTCATCTGGCTGATTATTTTAACAGAAACTTGTATCAAGATGATATTAACAGGTAACAATCTCATATTCTCATCCTTTAATTTATAATTGAAGGAAAAAAATCTGCCTTTACAATTGTTAATTGAAAACAATCTCTTAGTGGGGTTAAGGTGGGGTTTTGTTTGTGTTTTTTAAGTAGGAGACAAATGCTAACTTCTAAGTGTCTTGACATTTTTAAAATTCATGTGTGTGACAAAATAGGTTTTACTGGATAGTCTTAATTAAATTGTCTTAATTAAATTGTGCTTATCACATTCATAAATATAAGTGTACTAGAGTCTCCTAGAACCAAACAGAATATTTAAATAGCATTTTACAAAACAAGCTGGAAACAGCTGTACCTTCCATCAGCCCAGCCTTGAATATGGAACAAATTACAGTGCCAAAGTAGACAAAAATTTTAACTCAAGTCGAACAGCCAGTTTTTCTTGGTCTAAAGAAATTACTTTGAAATTGGGATAACATCTTCAATTAATAACTTTTTTTTTTAATATTATTGTTATTTGAATGGCTCACTTTTTTTTTTTTTTTTGGTCTGTTTAATTGTATAGGTCAAATTTCCTGGGGCATAAAGGTGAAGTTGCTGAAGAGTTTGGTGTAATAATGAAAGCTTTATGGACAGGACAGTATAAATGTATCAGTCCAAAAGACTTTAAAATTACAATTGGGAAGATTAACAACCAATTTGCAGGATATAGCCAACAGGACTCCCAAGAATTGCTTCTCTTTCTAATGGATGGCTTGCATGAAGACCTAAATAAAGTAAGCAATACACTTGTAACAAATTATACCTCTGTCAGATGATCAAGAGAAATAAATTTTAAAAAGACGCTCTTATTTCATAAGAAGATTATGTTACTGGAACCTTGTATAGAAGGAAATGCTAGTATTCAGAATTAAAGTAGGAATTTATTTTGAAACAGTGTAAAGTACTGAAGGGAGTAATGGAAGAAGCCTAACTAGATAAGAAATGGATGGCTACACTGACATGTTTAAATATTCTTGCAAATATTCAATAGTATGCTTGCCTATAGATGAGACTTTGTATTTTTATATATGTTAATATATAGCTATGGTATTTAAACTTCTGTTATCCAGGCTGACAACAGGAAAAGATACAAGGAAGAAAACAACGATCATCTTGATGACTTCAGAGCAGCAGAACTAGCCTGGCACAAACACAAACAGCTCAATGAATCCATTATTGTGGCGCTCTTTCAAGGCCAGTTCAAATCTACAGTGCAGTGTCTTACATGTCACAAGAAGTCCCGGACCTTTGAGGCTTTCATGTATTTGTCGTTACCGCTTGCATCCACTAGTAAATGTACGCTGCAGGTACGCTGGCACTAGAGAAAAACCGTTCTTGAAGTAAAAACATTTCTCTGTGACTTCATTATGATGTTGCTTCTGCTCAGCCTCTTGCTGAAGCGGTTGGTCAGTATTTCAGCTTAATTTACACTAACGTGAAACACGAACAGATCTGAATCGTCACTATTTTTTAATTCTTCTAAAGTTTAAAAAAATAGGTCATTCCTTAAGAGTTTCAAAATACAAGCAGGATGGAAATATTTAAGCCGCAGTAGCAGAAAAGACATGTATAGTATTTGTTTTTGTAGGCCATAGTATCAATATTTTGTTTTTAAACAAAATATTGTAGGTGTATTTTGAAGGACTTGCAGCTAATTAATATACACAGTAAAAATTACTTCCACACACAGGGACTTAACTCACTTTTCCTCATCTTTGTGAAACATAGCACGCAGATAATTGATGCAGGTTAATAACCAAATAGGAAACAAACACTTTTACTACGCTTTCATAAACACCGGCCCTGCACAATCTGTGTTTGTATTTTGTTTTAGGAATGCCTTAGGTTGTTCTCCAAAGAGGAAAAGCTCACTGATAACAATAGATTTTACTGTAGCCATTGCAAAACTCGGAGGGATTCTTTGAAAAAAATAGAAATTTGGAAATTACCACCTGTTCTTCTTGTGCACTTGAAACGGTAAGAGAAACTGTGATCAGTGAAAATTAATTAGGATGAAGTGACCAGGCTTTGATGGAGATTAATTGTTCCAGTGCAATAGCTAACCATTTTTAATTAGAGAAAGTTCCGGATGTATTTCTAGTTGTAATGTTGCAAGAATTTTATTTTCATCTGATGCCTCTTTTATTAGGCTGTAGTTCATGAAGCACTTTTACAAGTATTCTCTTTTCATTTATGCTAAGAAACATATGTGCAAGCATTAACAGAATTGGGCATCAAATGCTTTAGTTGAGATCATGTCCTGGTTAAAAACAGGGAAAACAAACATGCTTAATATTCTTAAATAGCTTGTGACAACCTTTAACTTTTAATGATGCTTTTTAATTCTCTAGATTTTCCTATGATGGAAGATGGAAGCAAAAGCTTCAAACTTCTGTAGATTTCCCATTGGAAACTCTTGACCTTTCACAGTATGTTATTGGTCCAAAGAATAACTTGAAGAGATACAATCTGTTTTCAGTATCAGTAAGTAACCGTGTCACATTTCAAAAGTTCAGATTTTTTTTCGGTGCCAAGACTTGGGTTAGCCTGAGTGATTCATCTAGGTTTCCAGGCTGCCTACCTGGTTGCAGATTAAGTTGTATTCTAAAAAGAATGATTGATATTTAGTAAAAATCTCACATTTTAGTTTATTTCCCTAACCAGGGAAGAAGTGGCAGCTTTCGAGGCCATTAATTCTTCTCTTTTCTTACATTTACAGAATCATTATGGCGGGTTGGATGGAGGGCACTATACAGCCTACTGCAAAAATGCTTCAAAACAACGCTGGTTTAAGTTTGACGACCATGAAGTATCTGAGATCTCAGCATCGTCTGTGAAATCCTCAGCTGCATATATTCTCTTTTACACTTCTTATGAACAGCGAGCAGTGGATATGGCCACATAAAGTAGTGTGGGTTAAGAAAACTGGTTTTCTTTTTATAAGAGCAAAGTAGGTATGGGAATGCATATAAATATGCAAAACTATGACAAACATAGTCACTTACAGATACGGGGATGGTTGCAGCAGCTTTTCTGCAAGCAAGCTCTTTCTGGTCAGTACTAGTGCTTAAAAATCAGAAGACTTTAATAATGCTTATGGTAATACTGCCATCTGTGAAACCATTTACAAAGCATACTTGCATTACCATTTATTTAAAAAACAACTATATTTTTAGTCTGCTCCAAAATTAAATTCTAGCTTAGTCATTTGAAATCTATTAACAAGTAGTTTAAAATGTCTTAAAATCCCAAGGCATATCTTGATTTTTATTTTTTTCTTTCACTGTTATGGCCTTTTCACATTTCTAACCTTAAGCTTGATTCTACTGTGAATACTCTAGAATGATGTAAACAGTTAGGAATGTAAGTGTACATATTGATTGCATACTTGCACATCAGAACTATGTATATAATAAAATGTTGTCCTTTTTGTGAGAATCTCTAAAACTCAGAGGATTGTGTTTATTTGCCAGCTCTAATTAATTGCAACACTACTTAATAAAAAAGCAGAGCTGTTTTTTTTTTTCTGTTAGCTTTTGTCAATATTTGTGCACTTCAGAGTTATTCTAAACAGACAAGATTTTCCTTTTTAATTTTTTAATATAAATTTTCATGTACACATGCATTAAAAACCTTAATGAAGAAATGATTTAAAAATATATCCTGTTAAATGTATGTTTGGTTTGGTGTTTTCATTCTCGACTAGTTGTGTAATGGTCAGGATTTTACATAATGACAATCTGAATCATATTCACACAGTTTAAAGGTTCTTCAGATGAAAAAAAAAACTGTTTTGTGTAGAACTGATTAGTTTAGAAACTATTTTAGTTGCATCTTGTGCATTTCCGTGCTCTGGATTTGAGTTAGTTTTCCCTCTCTGATTAGGTTGGCATTCAAAAATCTTAAACCCTACCTTCTGAGCTTTTATCTGTCTACATGCGTGTGTCTGGCTGATGGAATTAAGACCAGGATTGATTGTTTTCTATGAAGCTTAGAAGCTGCAAATGAATTTGCAGTGCTAGAGGGATAAAAATGATAGTACTAGAATAATGCCTTTTTCTTTCTCTTATATTAATGGTCACTTCATCCCCTGCTCTCTTCTGAAACATGTATCCTCAGTGGTCTGGTCGTATGCTTTCACCTTGGTATCCTACTGTCAGTTTCTGAAAGGCAGCTTAAAACAACATAGTTCACTTAAGCAACAGAGAAACAGGGATTTTCAGGTAAGTGCATCTGTATGCTCAGCATTTGTGTTCTTTTGAGGGATGTATGAGGTTTGTCACAGAAAACAACCATTAGACCTGGTACAAATGGAGCGGATGCACGGTCCTTAACAGGCTCGGAAGCTGTAACTCTTCTCTCTAGAAGTTACTTCCCGACAGAGCACAACAGGTGATCAGGTAATGCAAATGCTCTAGTTTATTGATGAAACAGGACCTGGCTAATGCGGCCAATGAATTCTAATTGCTGGCCTGCTCTACTGTTTGTTTTCCATGGCTTGCAGATTTTTTAATGGGTGCAGAGAGGGCCTTGACAGGTGTAGAATAGGAGATAAGCTGTGTCAGTCTGCACTGAGGAATTTGGGATCTTGGTGACCTGTGCATCATCAAAGCTGTACCAGTTTTTGGTGACTGAGTGCTTGCAGAACGCCGTGTAGTGGCCATCATCCAGAAAACCAGAGTGGTTCTGTAACAAACAACACAGTCTGTTAAAACAGAAGGCTCGCTCTTTCTCCTTACAGGCAAAGCTAGGAATTGGCAATCATTTTTTGTTTGCACTTGGAAAAGATGGGAGAGAAGATTCTGTCCCCTTTTGCCCTACAGTGAGGAATATGAATTCAAATAAATGCTTTGAAACAGAGCAAATAAATGACGACTATGCTTCTCTATTTTCCAATATTAAAATTGCAACCCAGCTATTAGCCCTGATGCAGGCTATAAGCAGGCCCCACTTGCAGTGAGCGATGGAAAAAGAGACCATTTAGTCCTTATGTATAGACGGGAGCCGTACAGGATCAGCTTGTGGGTTCACGCTGAAACGGCTGAGGAGGCTCCAGCCAGGCATTATGTGCCAGGAGTGCGTGCTTTTTAAAATTGGGATGTGGTGGGGAGAAGGAGAGAGAAGTGATAATTTCTCCTCTCTGGTTACATACTGTTACTGGATTATGTCCATGGCAGGTAAAAAAAAAAGTGTATGAAAAACATACATATCTCATGTATACAAAAACCTTGTTACAGGTACATTGTTAGTGAAGCAAAGAGGAGCCACGCTCTCTCACATGCTCTAACTGCAATTTTTAAGTGCCTGGATCAGAGAGGACTGTTGCTCTGATCAAGTCCAAACTAACGCAGGCTTCATCGGCTTCCTAAGGCAGAGCATTACAAATAAAAGCAGGAAAGGCAAAGCTCACCACGACAGCACACAGGCTGTACTCGGCGTCCTTGCAGCAAGGTGGGGAACTGTAAGGAGAGAGATCCAGACTGCTGAGTGGATAGCAGATGTCAGTTGAGAGTTTCCTTTTGTGTTTGCCTTGCCATTCAAACCTGAAATAAAATTTTGAACTACTTTAAATAACACTCAACTTCTTTCTTGTATTGTTGTGGTTGTTTAACTGACTTTCCTAGGGGAAGGGAAGAACAACGAATGACTACCCAGCATTTTGAAATAAAGATCTGTATTAATATTGAGTACTACTGTAAACTGACAGAAAACGCACTAAACCCACCAGAGATGTCCAGCAAGAAAAGCAAAGATCTTGCTTCCTGATCCTTCCGTCTATTAGAAATGGCAGAAGTCAAATCTCTGCATCGCTGTCACTGTGTCCTAAATGTTTTGGACTGCACTATTGTCAGCTCTTCTTTCGTGGCAGGCTCCATCCCTTGTTCCTCTGGAACTTTTAGTACAACACTATACTTTTAAACTTTTATAATGTGGCCAAGGGCTGCAGCTGGGGACCACAAGTTCATTTGAGCATGTCAAGGAAAGCAGACGCTGAATGGGAAATTAATAATTTTACATAAAGTAGTTCTGGGAAGCCAAATCATCCCAGAGTAATTTTCTTTATAGGTAGGAATTTGTTAAGAATAAATTTAGCATCTGGCCATGCATGGTAAGTGAAGTCTGCTAGTCAGGAGCTCTTACACTGCTGCACTGCTCTGTTTAGTAGAACTAGTTGCTTAGACCTGATCTAGTTAAGGGATAAACAAGAACACGGTGTCTCAGCTGCAATAATGACAAGCAAAATGCCCTGTTTCAGTCCTGCACGTAGAACTCAAGCTCTCCCACTTGCCACAGGAACTTGTATTCGCAGGGATGTCTGACCACATGAACTCTGCACTAATCTGTAGTCAGTCACTCCTTGGTGCAGGTTTTTTTCACTTTGGAGAAGAGATCCCAAATGTAGTGAGTAAAATTTGGTGGGCTGGCATACAGAGTAAGGTGGCACACCTTGTCTGAGGTTTCAGGAATGCAGCTTGCATGTTTGACAGGTATATTTCTGTAACTGCCTATTTAGCTTCCAGGTATCAAAAGTACTAAAAACACCCATCTGCAGTGATTTTTTTCCTTTTAAGCAAATGCAAGTGACTGTCCTTCGTGTCTTACAAATCCCAGGAAATGGCCATGTCCTACCCCATATAGACTGTACCTCTTTAGGTGGAAAATAATGATCTGCGGTGCCTTGATTAGGGTGGCCTTTACTGCAGCATCTTGTTTAGTTCCACACCAGGAACAGTGGATTTGGTTGTTCCAAGTCAGTGTGTCTTGCTGAAAGAAGCATTTGAGACAGTCCTGTCAAAGAAGGGGAAAAAAAAAAATCATTTGATCAAACAGATCTCCACCCCCAAAGACCCTAAGCAAGGTAAGAGAAGGGTTTGCCTTATTTTGGAGCTATCTTCCTAATCAAAGCATGATGTAGCTCCCATAACCTTACCAGCCTCTGCGGTCCAGAGACCAGTACAGAAACCCCACTTTTCTTAGGACCAGTTCAAAGACTATCCGTTAGTGCCCAGGAAACCAAAGTAACTAAAAAACTGCATCTTTTTAATAACACGTATTACTCTAAGCCACCTATTCCCACATGAAGCAGAAACCAGCAGGAACGTGTTAGAAGTCGTACCTGCAGAGAGCACGCGCTCTTAGAGGGGATGGGCAGGGAAAGAATGGTGAAGCTCTCGGGTCTGTTGGTGGTGGTCTTGCATTCCAGACACGTGATATCGTAACTGAGTTGTCCCTCAAATAACTGTGTGATAATAGATGTGTCACTGACAGTCCCTCTGCTTGCTTTTGCATCGGTTACGCACCTTCTTTTGCTTGACTATACGGAAGAAAAAAAAATTAAGAAAATGTAGGTAACTGTTTCAGAAGTGCCTTCACTGGGTTTTGATGGTTGCTGCCCACTGCCTGTGTAGGCTAGTAGTTAGTCTTGTCACAGAACTTGGCTCTAAAATGCTATTACTTTACTTTATGTTTCATACATGCAGAGTAAGCTAAATTCCTTTTCTGAAAGAAATTAAACAAAAATATAATATTCTGGACATAAGATGGCAGTGATTTAATTGCTAGACAAGCTCTTCATCGGTGGATCTGAAGAAGAGAAAGGCAGACAGGGGCAGAGATGAAGATTTCAGGCAGATGAAAAAGGGGAAGAATGTAAAGCATGGAAGGCGCAAGGAGAGAGAGGTGAGGATAATGGAGCTACAGACAGCATTATCATTTAGATGGGGGCTGCAATTTGATGTAGCTTCAAACAAGAAGCAAATGAATTATTGTATGTACATGGATATGAAACAAAGGAAGAAAATGACAATTTTTAGCAGCCACATCATATAGTTCAGAAGAGGAGAATAGGCAATCATTACACGGAATGCTAAATCACAAAATGCAAAGAGGAAACAGCTCCGGTCCCCAAAACACCACGGCTGGGCTCTTACCTTCTTGAGAGCCTCGTGGAGCTCGTTCAGCACACAGATCAGAAACTCCTGTGCGTCCTGCTGAGTCCTCTTGCTAAAAGTTGGGTACTGCTTCCCAAGGACTGAATGAAAAACCTCCGGGGAAACACAGTCAGACTCTCCAAGCCACATATCGGACATCAAACAGCCAAAGGCAGTCACAGTCTCGCCATTCTCCCTTGGAAAAAGAAAACCATAAATTTCAGGTAAAGTATGAAAAGATGGTGGCTCCACCTTCAAATGGGAGCACAATACATAAACTTGGAAAATATATGCAGGTACAGTACGGCTCTGACAGCCTGTCATTTGGTTTGAGGGACTCTGCAGATATTAGAAAGTAGTAGGAATCATCATCGAGACAGCAATGGCAGTAATTGGTATTACCATCAAAATGACAAAAAAAGTATAATGCTGGAGTTACCCAGCAAGGAAAAAATGTCTCAGGGTCTCAGAGGAAGGGGAAGGAAACCAGCCTGGGGCCAATCTGACTGTACCTGCCTGGTGGGGAGCTGGTGGGTGGCTGCCTCGGACAGTCTCATGGCAAGACGTATCTTTTGGAAGGAAAGCGGCAATGCCAAGCAGAAAAATACAAGTAGCGTGAATAAATCAACTTACTTGCGTAGGGCTTCTTTAAACTTTCCTGAGAGGAAATACTCCACGAGCGGTGGCACGCTGCAGAGGCACTGCAAAATTGCGTTCATGTAGCATGTGTTGCCCAGATTCCTCAGGCCGGTGAGCCCCGGGCATTGGCTGTTCATCTCCTCCTTCGGTTCCTCGCAGGAATACTTCACGCTTTCCAAGCAAATGGAGTCATACTTCCACCTACTAGAAAAAAACCTGCAACAGTGGAAATAAAAAATGCTACGATGCTTTTTGTATTATGGTTTTTAGGAAGCAGTACTGTCTTGAGGAGACGTTCCCTGCTGTTTCAGGATCTTCTTCATAAGTCGCATTCACATTTACTTTCATCAAGCTATTACAGTGGTAAAGACTCTCCCACACTAAGCTCTTCCCAATACAGTGAGATACACCATTAAGAAGTATTATTTCAATACCTGGGGTTTTAGAGTTATTCCTAAAATTCCACTCAGTCTTTGACTCCATACACAATTACTCGAAAACTATAACCAGCTGTAAATAGCTATCTTAAGCATTTCTCCCTACAGAACGCATATTGTATTTCATTTCCTCAGTGGTCTGGTACTTAGGTATTTTCTAAAACCATAGGTCGCAGTCCAGATGCTACTATAAACAGGTTGCTCTTTAGACTTTTTCCATAAAATGTTACTTAATTCATGTTAAGAAAACTTTAGTAGGTTTGTTTTCTTGCTGCATAAGTCTGTCCTGGACCAAACTGTCCCCATCCCCAATTAGGCAGAAGAGAGGTCTGAACACAGACCCTGCACAACCCAGATGTGCTCGTTGATATTGAATTTTTAAAGGCCGTTATTTTATTCTGATGCCGGAGAGAAAATCCTGAATCCTCAACAATCTTTGTAGAACAAGAAAAGCCATTTCTTTCCCTTCAGCTGAGCAGCATGTGCCCAAGTTCGCGTTTCTGGAGACCTCCCAGCCTGACAGCCATTTTCTATCATCTGCTACCTACAAAACAACTACAAAGCTGTTTCCTTTTAAATTTCAGTAACAGCAGAGACAACATTTCCAAACAGCTCTACCTATAGACCAGTCTCCTACGAAAACACTTAATTCCATCTTTTACAGCCATCTCCGAGAAACACTGACTGGGAGGAGAAAACATGTCGGGACTGTCGGGTACGGAAGGTGGCTGGGAAGCCACCGGCAGCCTCACAGGGAGCCCGTGCTTGCCCCAGCTCTGGGAGGCTGCCTCCTGCCCTCGGTTCTTCGTACCATCGCCTCTTCCATCCAGTTTCATGGCATGTCTAGCATGGTCCCGCGTGTCCCGCCCTGTCCCCCGGGCCCCCTTGCCCCATCACTTTGTGATGCAGTTCTGTTCCGTCGGTTCCCATCCAGGGGAACGCGCCCAGCCCAACCTGCCTCCGCCGCCTTCCCATGCGTCACCCAAAACAACCTTGGGAAGAGACGGGCACTCACCGATTCCACTGGGCAGAGAGATTCAGCCTGACCCACGTTTATTCATGTTTGCTCATTCTTGTATCAGTGTTTATTATTGCCATGCTCTGACGGAAGGGCAGTGATGACTGAGGGTGTTTACCATAAAGAGATGGAACTACCTCAAAACATCATGCTGAATTAGTTTATTTGGTGTTTAGAAAATTTTCCTGGGAAAAAGGGTAGTGGCAGAGAAGTGTCTCTTTAATTAGCTAATGAGACAGTGTAGTTGATCTCTGAATT